AAAAAATTAGATTAATTATTTAATACAAAAAATTTAAAACCTCTAACCTAATAGTTAAAAATAATCATTCGCCTCTTAGAACAAAATTAAATAAGGCAAATATTATTTACGAATTTAAATGCCTATTAAGGAATTGTATTCCTGATCAATCAACATGTTTGACACACAGACTCACTTTGCACCTTTCTGACCATAGCTCAATTAGATTTCATTTAAATATTCATGAAGACCTACCGGATACTATTTGTAACATACTTGTTGACAACACTAATATAATAGCATCGTCAACATGCAAAAAAAGGCTAAAAATAATAGAAGCCTTATTAATAAAAACAAAAAAAAAACAACACTTAATAATATTAACTATGAACATGGACACAATATCTTAACCGTGTTTTGAAAAGTGAAAAAAATATATAAAACACACACGCAACAAACTATTTCTTAAAATAGTTAAAATATTTAATCCTTGAGACACTATTTATATAATTTATCATCTGCAAAGAAAAAATTTATTAGATCGCATGAGAAATTGTATAAAAAACTAAATAAAAGCACCTTGTCTGTCATATTCAATGAAATGTGCATGAAAGAAGAATTGTTGCCTAAATACACAAATAAATATATATATATATATATATATATATATATATATATATATATATATATATATTATATGCTTTTTTAATTAGTTATTATTAATAGCAATATTATTATAATTTATCATCATTTTTTTTCTTTTAATGCAACATCTTGCTTCTAACAATATCGTAGGAATCTGCTATAATTGTCATCTTCAGATGCAGTTGGATATTTCCGTTATTTTCCATGGCATATTTAATTACAGACATTAGCCATCATTCTCTGCTTTCCTTTTGAAACAAGAATACATACCTACATGAATAAGTCTGCAGCCTAATGATATAAATGTTGAATTCACTAGTGAATATTTGTCACATATTCCAAACATTAGATAACCTCAAGTTTTTAAAACTTATTGATCCAGCCTTATATATACTTTTCTTTTACCAAGTCTGTGATTTGGAAGTAATAACAAAAACCCTTTTTCCGCTTTATTTTCAAATATAAAAAAAATCTGGCTCTATCAGATACATTGAGAGTCATGTGCCAGATAATGATATTTTTAATATTTTCTAGTATAGCAAGTGATTTTAAGTTCTATGTATTAAACTGTGTAAGTATTTATCCAATGATATACAACATACAAGGGCCAACAAATGTTTGTATGGTTATTTTATGCTTTTACATATGTCACTAATCTGTCTTTCTTCTCGGCTTTCATTTTCAATTATTTGATGAGCATAAAATCAGCATTCAGTTTCCCAAAAATTATCTAGCACTTCTACAGCTTATTAAACCTTGATCCAAGTAGCTACTTCTATAACATAACCCCCTTCTCAACTCCTCATCTGGGGCCATCAGTCAGCCTTCCCTACCCCATAAGTTTTTGATCTGAAGAAGTCTTAGGCAAAACTGATTGAAACCCCCTCAAGAGCAAAGTGGGTGAATTAAAAGTAAAGAATGAAACAACTTTCAGAATAGGCAGCCAACTCTTACTTATTGAAACAATAACAGTCTATTTGTCAAGGCTTACCTAGATCAGGTTAAACCATTCCCAATTCTGCTATACTGTGGTCTACTGTGGTTGTTTTGTTAGTTAGTAGGTGTCAGCTTTATTCAGAACAAAAACAACAGCAATGTTCCAGACTGGTGGCTGATAGATAAAACCTGATTCTTCAACTCTTCCACATGATTGTCAGTCTGCAAATTAAAACTTCTGAGGTTAGGGAAAATTTCTTCAGCTGACCAAATCCATCTCAGCAGTGTCTTGCAAGGAGTGGTAGACTAGGTAGCAAAAAAGATTAGTGATGTCAAGTGCTTAATGCTTTGCATATCTTTAGATGACTGATGACTACTACTTTTGTACTACTTTGGAGGGTTTCTGGGTTACACATTACTTCCAGTTGTCAGATTACAAGCTGACTTACAAATGGCATATACCTAAAACATTAGCCTAAAAACTCAAGTCATGTTCTTAAATAACCTCATCAGATCCAGACTTTCATACAGATGTCATGCATGGGGTCCCAAACCCATTCACAAATATCTAAACTGTCATCTGTATAAAACTGCTTTTCTTGATTTATAATTAAAAATGGCTTTGAGTGAATGACGCCTGTACATCTTATCAAGGGCCATCCTTCTTTGCACCTTGTGGACTGGCCCTAAAGAATCACAGACAAAGACCTATACCAAATAACAAAACCCACAACATTTGAAGACTTTTGACCACAGCAACAACTAAAATGCAACTAAAATAGAAAATAATGACATAATCAAGATGTTGATATTCTACACAACTTCAAACTAAAGATTAGGACGGAAACTCCCATCAGTGCTGGAAAGAGCAATAACAGTGGACCTGAGAAAAATATTTTCCTGCAAAATTGTTTTACGAGAAAGATTTTATAAATTTTAACCAACATAATTAACCCTGATAGCCTAGTCAATGAATACCCAATGTTTCTTTATAAGGAAACAGCTAACATTACCTTTACTATTAATGTAGTAACAGGATTGGGGAAAGATTTTGATGACTTCACGTCAGCTGAATTCTGGTCCCCAGTAAGCAATCAAGGTGAATGGTGGATAATATAAAAAGGAAATTCCATTACTGAATTTAGACTAAAATCTGACCTAGAATAAGTCAGATGGTTTATCTCAATTGTCATTTTTCCAGCAGCAAGTGAGGATGAGTGAGTGAGTTTCACCTCATCCTAAAAGTTAAATGACTTTAAATCATAAGTTCACACCCAGTCAATTCCAGAGATTAATCTAGTTTATTGTAATTAAATGCATTTTGTTTCTTCAGCAGCACAATAGAAAAAAGCAGAGCTGGGGTACATCCAGTATGCTAGTAAAATCCAAAATAACTTAACTCTACTCTCTAGGCCTTTGACGTCAACTTCTCAAGTTAATTTCCATTCCAACAGCACCTGCTAAAAATTTACAAACTGCTAAAATCCACACCAGTAACTGGTTGCAAAAGTAATTCAGGTCAAAATAGACTATTCTGTTTGATGTCATATAAGACCCCCTCCCCACATTAAATATTACAGAGTTAAAGAGTTAGGCGAGATATACAAGGCCCAAGGGTGACTCAAGGTAGTAGGTTGCTGAAGGCAGTTTTTAATACAGTTTATGAGGATATGTAGAAAAGATAACAGCTAACCTTAGACTTAAAGTGGTTAAAATTGTAGTGGTCAGGAAAACATCCCCTCAGGAGTTGTTTCTACAAAGTAGTGGTTCATGGGAAGGAGCTGTCAGAGTGGAACATCCTTCTTACTAATTATGTGGCATGGCAGGTCTTCGTTGTGACGGTTAGAATTGGTGGAACTAAGAGGAGGCATGGTGGAGTAATGGATAGCAGCTTGGATTGAGGAATTAGAGAGCCAAGTTTGAATTCCAGTCGAATCCATTACATTCACTTACGTGCTTATACCCTTGGGAAAGGTATGACTCCTCTTCTTCTCTTGCTGGTTATGGGTAAATACCAGGACAGACTGGGTTCTATAGACTTGGATGGCAACTGGTCTACTGCAGAAAGAAATGGCAATCTTCTATGGGGAAAAAAAAATCTGCTTTGTCAGTCATGTATTGAAAGATACATGATTGCCTAAGCATGTATCACACATGGCACATAACTGACTGAAGAAATGCAACTTGTCAGAACATTTTCCATAGAAATAGTGACAAAGTAGTGAGAGGCTTGTGAAATTCTGCCTGTGAGAAACGGGTTCATCTGGTAGTTTTATGATATCTGAGTAAACATTAGAGTATCAGATACTTTAGCCCCACATATAAGGATCATAATATTGTTTAGCCACTTTTTGGAGGATAAAAAGATAGGCTTTATATGCTATTAAATATGGCACTTGTTAACAACTTTAGTAAAATAGATGTAAAATAGTACTTAATGAAATTGTTTCTACATCAAATGAACACTGACAATTTTGCTATGATTAAATATTTGAATATAAACAACATGAATAAAATAAGAGTTTGATCTAAACAATTTTTTTTTTAATCAATTTACCCCAAGCAATGGTCTACTGGGTGTGAAAGAGAATTAAAAGTATTTTGAAGGAACTAGAAACCTAATCCTAAACAGGAAATCTTTACTCCTGTTCAAAAAACTAGGGAGGAGTGTGAACCAGACAATAGCCTAAACTATCAACTCCTATTGAAGAAAAAAATAAAAATAAAAAATAAATAAATAATTAGTAAATAAAATTGCAGAGTTCAAGAGGAGATATTAGAAATATGGAGTTAAAGTTGACATCAGAAGAATCTGGAAACTCAGTCCCAAACAGGAGACCAAGGTTTTGCCTCTACTTCTATTCAAAAGATTGTAGATGAGTTTGAACTGGGCCGTGGGTGAACTTATAAACTGGAAGGGAATAAATTATTTAACCCATAGCTTTTGACTGCTTTATTGAATAATATTAGAACACTATCAACTAATAATAGTAAAAGAAGCAACTATGTCCAAGTTAGATATTGGAAACATTGTCAATTATCTGGATTGAAAATAAATTTAACTTAATATTTCCTGCTTTTGACTCATAACTAGAAAACTCATCATTAATTCTTAAATAAATAAGAAACATAATCAAAAATAGATCAGAAATGTCAAATCCATAGTCATTATCCATACTTATTAACTCTATATACCAAATATAGTTTATCTGTTATGGAATAATAGACATTTATTATCGACATGCATCTCTGCTATTTTCATATTGAATTCTTGCCAGAAGATTCAATCATTTCAGTGATGATCAGAACTTGCTTGTATGAATACAGTTTTATCGATTTCCTAGGTCGGGGTGGGAAGGTTTTTAAAAATACATTCTTTTTTGACGTTCATTTTTGTCAGGGCATCATTATAATACCGAACATCTCTTCATTTCTTGCAGGTGAAGGCTACCAAAAATATCAGAAATTGAAAAAGAAAGAAGCTGCAATAGACGGTGAGTTTTTGGTTTACTTCCATTCTTCTTTCATCGATCTTGCACACTTGTTTTTTAGATTTCATCTTTTTCATTCAACTCTTTTTCTCTCCTTATTCTTTCTACCTTATTCTCCCATTTTTCTTCTTCATCAGTTCCTCATGTTTTTCTCTTTCCTCTATTATTTTCATCCACCTCTTTTTATTCCCCTTATTCTTTCTACTTTATTCTCACATCTTTCTTCGTGTTTTTCCTCTATCATTTCTACTTTATTCATTTGCTTCTTTCTCCTATTCTTTCTACCTTATTCTCACATCTTTCTTCTTCATTCTTTCTTCATGTTTTTCTCTTTCCTCTATCATTTTCATCTTTTCTCATTCACTTCTTTCCCCTATTCTTTCTACCTTATTCTTTATTTTAATTATTCAGTTATTATTAATTTAAATTAATAATAACTTTCCTCCATTCTTTTATATACTTCCTCAGTTTTCTTTTCCCATTTCTTTATCTGAGGCATCAAAAAATGTAAATTTCTACTTTACAAACAAATTTATGATTTTTTTCTCATTTTTTTAAATTTTTTTCTGAAATCACTATTTTCTTTCATGGAAACGTAAAACCCTATAACTTCTTATATTTTATTTTTTTAAATGAGAAATTGTCAATATACATTTTTCAATTTATTCAAACTATTACTCTCATATTGATTATTATATATGTTGCTGTAAACATATTGTGTCAGCCAAGTTACCCCCTGGTAATCTTCAGGTGTCCATCATTTTTGGCTGATATAGGATACCTGTTGATATTCTATTATTATGTTACTCTTATAAATGTAAATTCAATCCATGAATTAGATAGTGATATAATATACACTGATTTAGCAGAAACAAACAAGAACGGCCATCACATTGACAATCATAAAACTATAATCAACAGCTAATCTCATAACAGCCAAAAATAATAGATACCAGAAGATGGTTAAATGATACTTGGCTGAAGTATTGTGTCTGTAATAACATTTATGATAATCAAGATAGGAACAATAGTTTGAATAAATTGTAAAAAGGATTTTGACAATATTTCTTACCTCTAAAATGAAATACAAAATTATCAATAGCAATATGAACCCACCATAATAAATCAAATATCAAAACAATCTGACTCTAGATTTTAAAGGCTCATAAAACAACATACCACTGATGTTCTTTGGGATGATGGCCTAGTGAATATAAGCTTTATTTAAATATGTGTTACTGTCATTTGATGGTTGTGAGTTCAATCTTTAGATGAGATAGTGAAATTGAAATTATGTGTACTGGTTCTGCAGAAACAAACAAAAACAGGGATCATGAGTACAAAATAATATATTAATCAACAGTTATTGCATATCAGCCAAAAATAATAGGCATTTGAATATGGCCAGAAGATACTTAACTTAAACATTGTATCTGTAATAATATCTATAATAATCAAGATAAGAACAATAGTTTGAATAAATTAAAGTGTAATGGAAACGAAAGACCACCTCTCCACCACTGAAAAAGACAAAATGATTTACGGATGCAAACAGTTCACACATGATTTTCATGTAAAATATCCAGGAAGGAAAATGGCCTCCTCTGAGTCAAAATATTTAAAGATAATAATGTCACGCATGACTTTTCAAGATATACGAAGTAGACACTATATCAGGTGAAACCAAATTACTGTGGATGCCTTTTTTCTTAGTCCAGCCTCGTGACTGGTGAATTGTATATGCTGTTGTTGTTGGTGTAACTTGGAGGTAGTTCTAAGATAGTGTCACTAACATAAATATTCTGAATTGCTTGTGAATTGTTTTCTGTGCTGTTTCCAACAAACTTGTTGGCCACTGATGGTAGAAACTTGTTCAACACATATTTAGCTGCATAAAGAAGTGTATTTTACTTTTTAATCTTCCAGCTTTTATTCACTACATTGATGTGTTTTCCCTAAAAACACCTGAAGATGGTCAGATATTATTTAACATCCTTATTTGATTTATTAAGTCATAACAACAATCCACTTGGAGTAACTTGGCCAAAAGCTACTTCCAGTATTGTGTAATGCAAAAAAATAAAAACGACATTATTTCAGTGTTAACACATCTACTGATGTGGACATAGTTATACATATTTACAAAGATTTCAATGTCTGCTGTTGACATATATATACATTTGCAGTATTTGTATTATAAAGTAACACTTATGTAGAGTGAGTTGCCTTGGTTAAATGTAAAATAAATGACAGAACTGTCCAACAAACAGAATTGATAAAGTTTGCAATAAGCAATAAAAAGAAAAAGAAAAGAAAGGAACAGAGTAAAAAATAATATAAATCAAGCAAACAATATATGCAAGGCAAATTAAGAGTAATAAGGCAAAGCAATATTAATATAGCAAAAAGTTCACAAACTAAGAATTGGGGTTGACACACAAGAGCAAGTTTGGATAAGTGAACAGTGTTCTGACTTCAAGACAAGGACTGAGTTAGATGAAAGTGTGAACCGTCTATTTTATTGGCTAGGAAGAAATCCCAGCATGCATTTGTGTGCTTTTGCCTATAAATTGGGGATAAGCGTTCAGACGACGCTTAGAACTGGCCTGTTTTATTGGCTAGGAAGAAACATGCATGCATTTGTGTACTTCTGCCTATAAATTGGGGAGGGGAAAAGTGTTTTGCAGTCATTCCTAATCAAGATTGGAACAAAATCAACATAGACATATAGTAACATACAATACAACCTGTTTTGTGGCATATTTTTATTATATTGTGCGTTGAGAGGGTCATTTAGTTTAGTTTACACTACAGTATATCCCATCAAAACCAAAATGGTGGCACCCATGAGAAATTGCTGTAAGCATTTTTATAATAATTTATTTTCACAAAAACAGGCCAACACAGCCAGATAACAATGCAACAATGAAAGTGTTCAAAAGAAATAATAATGACTTAATACCCTTGGATCTCATACAAACATTATTTCTAATATATTCTAAGTGACTAAATCTCTATTATTTAGTGGAAATGACTAAGTGTAATAAGTTAAATGCTTTTTGAAAAATTATTTGCTAACATAATCTCAGTAAAATCATCCAATAAAACTGAAGAAAGTGGAATATTAACAAAGTAGAAATGTCCATGGTTAAGTGTAATTGACAAAATTCTCAATAAACAATACGGAAGTAAAAGAACAAAGGAAAATAATGTTAAGCAAACAAATATATATATAAGTGCAAGTCAAATCTAGGCAAAGTAACAGTAATAAGACAAAATGTTCAAATAAGGATTGTATGCATATGCAAAAGAGATAGACAAATAATTGTAGCATTCTGACTTCAAGACAAGAAAGAACAAAAATATGGCAGATGAAACCAAGAACTATCCATTATTGGTTAGAAAGAAATCCCAGCATGAATCTGTAGGATTTGTCTAAAAATTTGAGGAGGTAATGTTCTTAACAGTCATCTCTTTGGATTGGAACCAACACTTTGGCTTTTGTAGTAAGAGCCAAACTCTGAATGTTCACAACTATCCATGGCAAAGTAAACGATGGATCTGTTTGCAACATAAAAATAAAGAATAAAAAAATGGATATTCTAGTGATAACCAGCTAACACTCCATTACACATTTATGGTTTTAAATAATCACTTACAGGCATTATTGCAAAACTCTGAGAAAAATATTAGATAAAATATTTTAACAAATTTAGAATAATTAAAATCTAGCATGTGAACTCCTAAAAGAGATATGGGGATAGTATAATGGAATTGGAAACAGCTAACAAGGTTCAAAATCTGTCCTAGCCTGTTGCATTCACTTTCACACAAATGCCTTTGGAAACAGCATTAACCATCACTTCTCCTTCCAACTTAAATAGACTAGATAACAGGGTAAATTACCCTCACTAACCTTTAGTGGCATCCAGTCTTAGAGAAGGAAAATTCTGTATTCAAAACTGTGGAAAAAGCTACAGAAAATTACTCCACTATCTTTCCCAGTAAGTCATTGCAGTTCACAGAAAATAAAGAAAAAGGAATCAGCACAAAAGCCATGATTGCCTCCAACTTGAAGGTATTTGGCATTTAAAAAGAACTAAAAGTATGTAATACCCTTATTCCCATCAGATACTGTTATGTTGTTGATTGAAAATATAAAAATGAAGTTAATTAAAATCCTCTATAATTGCTCTCTTTTGTCCTACATGGAAGATTAAGAAAGCACGTGTTCAATAAAAAGAGATTTTTTGAAAAGTTGAAGCTGTCAGATTGATGGTTAAAAAATGACTTTGAACGAGTTAAGCATGTAGGTCTTGCCAAGGACCATCCTTCTTTAAACCTCATAGACTGGCTTTACAGAATCACAAACAACAAAAAGAATAACAGAAACACCATTATTTGAAAACTTTCAACAGCAGTAACAACTAAAATGGATATCACATGTAACAACTAAAATGGATATCACATGTAACAACTAAAATGGATATCACATGTAACTCAAAAAGAGAATAAGGACATAATCAAGATGCTGGTGTTGTACACTATGAAAAAGCAATTTCTATGGACAGCTTCTGCAATCACTTAATCCCCATTAAAGAAAAACTGAATAAAAAAGACCCTTTTATTTTCCTTGTATGTCATATTGAATGAAGTATATGTGAAAAAAGATTGCTGCACAAATATGTATATATATATATATATAATAAAAAGGTTTAAACACTAATATTCCATGGTCACCTGGATTCTTCCTCTTGGAATTTTTATTCTAAAAATATACATGTATGGGTATTTATATATTTTGCATACGTATGTATATTTACCACTAATATTATCTATCTATCTATATATATATATATATATATATATATATATATATATATATAATACCACACATAAGTATATACACACACGCATATAGCTACTGGACTTAGGAAACCTATTTTCTGGAAAAATTCTCTTAAGCAATGATTGTCTATATCATAAAGGGATTTGGCATTTAA